CAGCTAAGGACCCAGAGATGGGGAGAACGTGCAGGATTATCCAGGGGGCCCCATGTCATCCCACAGGTCCTTAGAGGTGGAAGAAGCAGACAGCGGAGTTGGAGAAGGCGCAGTGACAGAAGCAGAGGCCAGAGTACAGGTGATGGCTGAAGGTGGACCGGCCCACCACCCAGGCCTGCAGGCAGCCTCTAGAAGCCGGAAGAAGCAAGGATAAATACTCTCCTCTTGATCCCCCTGAACTCACAGCCCTGCCGATGCCTTGAGTTCAGCCCAGGAGAGCCATTGCAGACCGCCAGCCTCCCGACTTTACGTAAGAGAACACATCTGTGTTGTTCTAAGCCACTAAATGCGTGGTCGTTGTTACCGCCGCGCTAGGAGGAGCTCGCTGTTCCTTCTGTTCTTAACCCCGCCTTCCTCCCGCCCTGGCCGCCCACGCTCACCCGCTACCCGTGCGGCTGCGGCTGCGGCTGGGGCTTGGCACCGCACGCAGTGGGGGCTCCCTGCACCTCAAGTGGCTGGTCCCTGCCCCTGCGGACTTCAGGGCTGCTTCCGCGGCCCCTCCCCCCACCGGCTCTGCCCTCAGGGCTGGAAGCCCCCCACACACCCCCTCTCCAGCGTGGAAGGGCAGGAACAGCAAGATGTGTCAGGGGAGGCGTAGAGCTGAAGCTGCGTGGTTCCTGGATCATGCGCGCTTAATTCTTACAAGGGTCTTCTGATAAAGCCCCATAAAATGTTGAAGATGGATTTTTATTAACATTTCTCAGCCTTCCGTTCTCACAGCATACAGAGTGGGCTACAAGCCCCTTCAGGACCTGGCCCTTGCCTCGTAATTCTCTTGCCTCAAACCGCCTCACTCCTATGCCTCTGAAACCTTGAATTACCCCAAACGCCTTTCATCATGCTGTCCCCTCTGTTGGGAACGCCCTGCTTCTCTTCCCTTCTGGCAAGTGCTTGGATGCAGGTCAGATATCTCCCCTTCCAGGGAGCCCTCCACGACTGCTATCAGAGTGGCTTAGGGCTTCTGTGCCCATTCACAGCCCCTGTGTCTGCCTCTGTCAGTGCTCTTACTGCTGCTGGGGTCCCTTCCATTCTCCTCATTTTCCCCTCTGCCCATGGAGAGGAGAGAGCCACCTCCCAAGCTCCCCCCGCCGCACCACTGCAGAAGCGAGGGAACACTTTGGTCCCCACCTCACTGGCATCCTAGATCTGCTCCTCCCCATGGGAGCGGGAGGCCAGTGTGATTGGTCAAATCTGGGGCCACATTTCATTGGTGAACAGGGCCCAGATTTGAAAGGCAACTTATCTGTAACTGGGTGACAAGGCCAGCTCGTCATTGTCTCTCTTGATTCCAGCTCCTCACCCAAGGGTCTTTGGGAGAAGTGAACTCTTAGATTCAGAAGTCAGACACTATGGGCCTTACTTCAACCTCTGACCTCAGCTGCCTTCCCCACTACAGCTCTTACACCCTTGTCCAGGTATTAATACATAAACTGGCACATCGTTTCCCATCCTTAAATATACTCCCTCCGTCAGAAACCTGGAGGAGAGGAAGGAAGATGGGATCTTGAACCTCAAACTTCCACATTGATTTAAAATTGTTTGTGCAGGATATACTCTACTGTGTAGGTCAGAGGACTTGTTAGCATGACTCCCAGAGACATCTGAGAAATGACCCCTATTCTGGTTCCCAGCCCTGAACTCAAGAGTGCTCTAGAATTGGTCTGTACTCACCCTGAAAGTCTGAGGGTGGTGGCTGAGTTCATTTCTGTCGGAATGGCCTGTGATCATATTTTTACACTGTAAAACTCTGAGATTGGTGAGGTGTACCTGGCGCAGGTGAGGTGGTCTTGGGCATGTATACAGTTGCTCCAGGCATGGATGGGCAGGTAGATGGGTAGATCAATGGGTGGGTGGATGGGTGGATAAATGGCTAGATCAATAGGTAAGGGGGTAGGTGGATAGATGGTTGGGGGAATGATAGATCATTGGATAGATTAATCAATAGACTGTGTGGCCTGAAGGGAGACATTCATGGTTCTAGAAGGTCTGATATGACCCTCACTCATTCACACATTCTCATCTACAACTGTGGACTCCTTGGTAAAATCTTTATGCCAGAATCTTCCCCTCTGTCTATTTTAGAAAATGCTCCGAGTCTCACTGCCATGTATCCTGACTGTACTGACAGTTTTGAAACTCTGTCTGAATGATCCAGTGACATCTTTGTCTCATTTTTCTGACAACTGTACTTGCTACTGACCTTTGTCCTTATGCAAGTTGTATACAACATCTCCTACGTGCCATCTCAGATTCTCTCTGTCGCCCCTGTCTCTGGGGCCAAGGCCACCTGTTTCATCTCAGCCACCCCCGCAGGGACCAGTTCTGCTGGGCTCCAGCCAGTTTCACGCACACAGTTTGCTGCTTGCTGCAGAGCTTGTTGGTACTCACATAGTGCAAATCACAAGTGTGGGCAGGAGTGAGGTTGGGAGATGCTTTATGTCTCCTGGCTAACCTTTGACTGTGGGAAACAAAAACCAGTGGATAATTCTCATCCTTTCCTCCCTCTGCAAGAAGGTCTTGAGATGCAGGTGTCTCTACGGACTCTCAGAAAGGGGCCTTTGAGATGAAGCGTTCAGCTGCCCCTGATGCTAAGCGGTTGCTAAGTCGATGCCGAGTCTCTCTCCCTGCCTCACTCCCATTTTCTCTCACTCCTGCTTCCCTGGGTGCACCCTCAGGAAAGCAGTAGCACATAAACTTCTGCTTTCTGGGGATCCCAGGCTAAGATCTGATGACTGCTGTACTGGTTACTGTTCCTATTTCTAGGTTATGATTGGGTGAAACACAAGAGTTTTTTGGACTTAATTAGATTATTCAGTGTGTTTAGTATCTGCCTCCCACACTAGGCTGTGAGCCATTCACTGAGGTATCCCCAACACTGAGTGGAATGCTGGAAATCTTTACCCCATTCTCCTCTTACTCTTTTCTGTAACATTAATAATGTCGGGGAAGTTCTTATCTTGGATACTTGAATCTTCTGCTGCGTAAGGTTTTCAAAGTCAATGCCATCATTTTCAGAGGGGTTACTTTTCTTTAGCTTGTTATGCAGAATTCAAAAGAACAAAACGCAGAATCATTAAAGGCTTCTGTGGTAGGCTGAAAAGTGGTACCCCAAAAGATAGCCACATGCCAATCCTTCAGGCTCTTGAGATGAGGTATCCTGGATTGTGTGTGTGGAACCTAAATGCACTCACACGTATCCTTAGGAGTGAGGCAGAGGCTGACATCACACACACAGAGGAGAGGGGGGTGTGACCATGGAGCAAAGAGATTTGACGGTATTGGCCACGAAGATGTGAGTGATGTGGCCACAGGGCAAAGAATGCCCACAGCCACCAGAAGCTGGAGAAGGCAAGGATAGAATTCTCCCCAGTAATCAGAGCCCCTGGAGGGAGCAGAGGCCTGCTAACACCTTGATTTCAGTGATACTGATTTTGGATGTCTGGCCTCCAGAACTCTGAGGGTACATTTCAGAAACTTAGAGCAGTTTCTTCTTGAAAAGGGACCTCAGAGATCACCAACCTTAGCCTTCATGAATACAGTCACTTTATGTTGTTACTATTTCCCACATGCCTATTGAGTTGGTTTAAGTTGTTTCTAATAATGTTTGTAAGTCTGGTGTTTAACTCAAATGGTGCATGAGCAGTCATCATAAACTTTACCTCATTTTCTAGGAAGGAACGAGATCCAACTAGCCCCTCATCATGACCTTCCCCTCGCACTGGCTTTAAGCCTGTTCCATTCAGCAGGCCAGCACTCCTCAACATGGGGCCCAAGGATGGCCTGCATGGAATTGCTGAAGCACTCATTAAAAATGTCAAGTCCAGGGGCGCCTGCGGTGACTCAGTCAGTTAAGCGTCTGCCTTCAGCTCAGGTCATGATCCCAGGGTCCTGGGATCGAGTCCCGCATCGGGCTCCCTGCTCAGCGGGGAGTCTGCTTCTCCCGCTCCCTGCCCACTGCTCGTGCTCTCTCTCTCTAATAAATAAATAAAATCTTTAAAAAAAAAAAAAGTCAAGTCCAGGACTCTGCTCCAAACCTACTGAATAAAAAAAATCTATGGATGAGGTGCAGAAATCTGCACTTTTAACAAGCCTCCCACGTGAGTCTCCACACACCGGCTTAAGAACGTCTACTACAGAAGAAAGGGGTCACAATGGACTGGCTCAGCGGGGCAACTATCAACGCTGGGGCAGGTGCTGAACTTACTGGGGGGTGGGAGGGGACCTGCATGCTTGTGATGAATGCCACCCTGAGCTCATCGAGGAACCAAAATCGTCTTATCCCCTCATGCGTTCCTACTGTAAAACAGCTGCAAATGTGCCACAGAGCTGGGGCCCACAAAAGCTTTTGAGAACATGAGTCACCATTACATATTTCACGGTAATTTAACTTTTTAATTAAAAAGACTTTCCCTAAACAATAATAGCTTGCAAATGCATGTGCCCTTTGATCTCATAATTCCACTTCTGGAAATTTATCCTACAGATAGACTTTATGCTTGTACATATCTACAAGATTATTCACCGCAGAACTGATTATAATAGCAAAACACGGGAAATGATCCAAATGTCATCATTGTGGAACTGATGAAATAAATTATACCACTTTCATACAGTGAAAAATAATGAGGAAACTGTATATGTATTGATATGGAAATGTCTCCAAGGGGAAAAGCAAGGTGCAGAACACATGTATAATACACTACCTTTTATGTATAAAAAGGAAGTAATAGGAACCCACATTCCTATTTACTTGTATATTCATAAAGAAATGCTGGAGGTATATATAAGAACAATGGTTACCTCTGGGGCAGGGGATGAATGTATGAGGAACAAGAATGGGAGAGGGAATTTTCACTATATATATATATATATGATTATCCTTTGGGGTTTAGAACCATGTGAGTGTATTATTTATTCAAAAAATAAATAATACAATAAAATTTAAAACAACCATTTATTGTGGCCTTCAGAACAAGCAACCTGGTCTGGTTCTCTACACCTACAAGTCTTGATGTCCGTGTGGCGCTCTCCAAACTGGATGCATGTTGCAGAGGCCATAGCCATTCCAGGGGTTACCCTGATGAGATGGGTGTTCCAGGCCAGAAGGCAGATTTCCGTTGTCCAAACCAGCAGGGGGAGGACAGGTCTCTGAGTTTCTTACTGAGGAGAACCAGCATCATGAAGGTTCTGGGATTTGGATCCATTATGCACTGGACAGCTCCAACAGAGGAGGGTCCTTGGGCTGCCTACTAATGAGTACCCAGCACGTCAGTACTGAGACATCAGCTGTTCCCGACTCACAAGGGAGGAGTGGTGGTAGCGATCCCGAGTGGCGAAGTCTTCATTCTCCTGGGTGAGCTGAGTCATCTCCATGTCAACCCTAGCCAGGGACGGCGCCAAAATTATCTGCTCTTGGGGAGATCTCAAGCTCCTTCGGTGAGAGAAACACAGAGGCGGTCAGAACGAAAGACAAAGTGCTGAACAGTGGGGATGAGTCTGCTCGGGGATAGAGTAATGCTTTGCACAAGTGTCATTGTGCTTATTACTTTGTACTTCTTATTTAACACGTATTTAAATAAGATAACTGTGGAACACTATATGTATAATAGTTTATGAACCCAAACTATAAAAAATAAGTATCAAATAAAATAAGGAGAGAGAGTGATACTTACCTCTCTTTAGTAGAAACATATAAAACTGTACCCACCCAATAAGAGACAACCCACAAAGATAACCTTCCAAATGGTGTCATGTTGGGGCTCTACAGCTTTTCTTTGATTTTCTGTCAAATGAAATAATGGAACGGAGAGGCTGGAAAACTGAGAAGAGTAGAAAGAGAAACTTTCTCTTTGGTTCTTTGGAAAGAACGCTGACTGAAGAATGATTTCCGGGGCTGAGGTTTACATAGGAGGCAGCTACGAGGGGAACTGCAAAGGCTTTTGACACTAAACTGGCCTGAAGACAATGTGGATTCCATTGTCAGTCACCGAAGTGTCTCCATACAGTTGGAGTGAGAATAAACTGGTAAAGAAAAATGTCTGGGAGACAAGAGGAAAGTGCTAGAGGCAGAACGCAGTAAGGAAGACGGAGAGTCACCGGCCTGCCACTAATCAGCCCCATGGCCCCAGGCCAGCTCTTCACCTCCCCTGCCTTGTTTTCTCATCTTTGCAGGTCCCCTTCAGTTCCCTCAGTCTGTGGTAGGTCCTTAAATCACCTCAGCCATGGATTTCCTCCTTCAAATTTTACTCAGAAAGAATCATCTTCTTTGTGAGTAGTAATGTTCGATTCTTTAAAGAATATATTTGACAACTATCTTAAAAAGGTAGCAATCTAACGTTCTAAACTTGTGGAACCTCAGTAGAAAGCTCCAGTTGCCTCTGGCAAAATGTGCTGTTATAGAAGTTTAGATCACAGGACTAAGGCTTGCAGCCACTTGCTGGAAACATACCTAAATTAGATAGATGGAGGTTTTCTGAGAAATGAGTGAACTTCTATAAAGGTTGAATCTTCAAGAAGTAAGGTTAAGAGGCGACATTCAGTCAACATACGAGTGTTTTTGCCAATGAATTATTTTTGTTAATGCTTTTTTTTTTTTTTTTTAGGTGAAACCACAGTATTCTTCTGAGTTCAGGGAAACACTGTGCTTCACTTTTAGACTAGAATGGCCTGAGAATTCTCACCTGGGCAATTGTTAGGACTTCTGGAAAGAAAGCCCTCTCAAGGTCAGGCTTCATTTCACATAATTCTGGGAATTGTATGTGTAACACAAGAAGCAACATACCCAAGTTCCTTTGCCCAAACACATTCTACAATATTCTTCTACTTTGGTTTTGAAGAGCATCTGGGACTATAGTCAGGGAAGTGGCGGCGGGGGGTGGGGACCACAAACCTTTCGAAACTACAAAACAACAATTTCTACTTTTAAGTGAACCATCCTTTCTTGGTCCTTTCACCCTCCTGAATAACCACTACAGGATCTCACCCAGTAGGCACGTGAGGCCAGCAAGTGTGATGTTGAGACTTAGTGGAGGCCTCCACCACCCACTTCACAAGCCCACAGAGCTATGAATAGTGTGCACTGGGTCCTATTCCAACCAAAGCACTATCCTTCTCTAACAATAATCTCCTCTGAAGACATTGTTTTCTCTAAATAGTATTATGGTGACCTCAGACGTGAAATTCCTGGACTTCAAGTGCAACTTAAGGAGTAGTGACCTCCTAGGGTCATTTATAGGCTTTAAAACCAGAGATACCTAAAAATATTCCTGTGAATCAGAGAAGGCCAAGTATTCTCAACCACACACCACTTGCAGCTCCAGATTCTGTAGGCAGCTTCTACACAGAATCTATGTCCACTCAGCCTCTACTTTTCCTCAGGACCAGGTGGTAGAGGAGAGAGAGCAAGGCGGGTGTGTTGTGACCTAAGTCACCCAACCTGGTGCCCCAGACTGGAAGAGAGGCCCAGGGGCAACCCACCCCCTCCTATCGCTGCACAAAGGACAACAGCCCAGCTTCCAGGCAGAAGACAGGGGTTCTCCCCTCCACACCAGCTCCTCCCAGCCCTCTCCCTGGCGGTTTCCAGAGCCCCTGCTGCTTTTTGTTCATCATCCTAGGCTCTAGCACCAAGGTTTCATTTCTTCTGTCAAGTTGAACAGATTGGTAGTGCTACAAAGAGCTGTCTTTAAAAGGATTCTTCGGAGGGAGGAATGGGGAGTTATTGTTTAGTGGGTATAGACTTTCTGTTTGGCAAAATAGAGAGTTCTGGAGATGGATGGTGGTGATGGTTGCACAATGATGTGAATGTATTTAATGCCACTGAACTGTACAGGGGTTAAGAAGTTTAAGTGGCTAGGTTTAAGTGAACTGTGGGTGGGAACCTGACATTTGACGGTTAAGATGGTTAAGATGGCTAAGATGGGGGGTGCCTGGGTGTCTCAGTCAGTTAAACATCTGACTCTTGATCTTAGCTCAGGTCTTGATCTCAGGGTAGTGAGTTCAAGCCCCGCACTGGGCGTGGAGCCTACTTAAAAAAATGGTTAAGATGATAAGGTTTTTATGATATGTTTATTTTATCACAGTAAAGAAAAATGCAAAGAAAAAAAAAGAGGATTCTGAATTTACATTTGGGGTCAATGGGAAAGGCTCCCATCATCCATTAGCAAAGTCAGGGTGCAGAAGGTGGCAATATTGGTAAGGGCAACCCAAACATCTCTAGTTTCGGAAACAAACCAACAAAATGAAACCAAATAAACACTTGGTTGGGTTCTGCCTGGATTTTCCCAGCCCACAGCCCTGGTTCCTCACTGGTACTAAAAGGGGACGGAAGTGATTTTCCAGAGTCCTGAGGCCTTCAAAGTCAAGGAAGCATTGTACCGGAAGGGTGGAGGAGGAAGAGGAAAGAGATGAGAGCACTCCTGAAATCTCACCTTCTTCATGAGGCCTCCTCCTATTTCTCCCTTTCCCTGTGTATTTGAACACGGAGGGCCCACAGAAATCCTCTAGAATCTCTGCTGTGTTTCTGCACTTTCACCAATACAATCACGTCAACCACCTCTGATTTGAGATGACAGAAGGCGTGGCCTTGAGGCCCTAATCTTGTGTATGGTTGTGTATTGATGCTCGTGTGTCTTAGACTGGGAACTCACTGACTCAGCACCCAGCAATCAGATTCTAGACAAAGCCTCCGTTCATGATTCCTGAGGGTATGAAGGCAAGACCAGAGCCAGAGGAAGCTTCTGCTGAGCTGACTCTGGGTGTGGGGTTGGGGGGCTGGGTGGTGGAAGGCAGTGAGGAGCAGAGTCTGAGTGTCACTGAGGTTGTCAAATGTCAGGTTCCCACCCACAGTTCACTTAAACCTAGCCAGGGACTGGACACCCTGACTACCTCCCACAGCCCCAGATCAGCACAGACCTGCAGGAGGGGATCAGAAGGGACTTCATCCACCTGAAGAAGCTGAAGCTGGAGGCTAATCCTGCAGGGAAAAAATATACATAAATATTAATAAAGGCTCTACGTCCAGAAGCCCAGTTTTAATAGTGTGAATAAACACTCCCTGACACACACACAGAATTAGCACAAAATCTTTCTTTCCTTTTTCAGTTTAACTAAACTTCATTTATTGTAAAGACTCTGACAGCAACCTACTAAGGACTTTGTACCCATATATAGTTTTCAAAAATTTCTAAAATCCAAAATCCCAAGAAAGAAACTAAATACAGTGCTATAGAGGAAAAAGCAGAGAAATCAATTTGCCAACTTCGGTCTTAGGAATCTAAAAATTTTTGACAATTTTTTTCCTGTTACTTTCAAATTGATAATATGTTAAATACATGCTATAAAATCCCCTACTAGACCATTCACTCTTTAAGCATAGAAAGGACGTCTTTTTCACCTTGGAACACTCACAGTACAATACCCACAGGATCTGGTACCGAGGATGTTTTTTTAGGTGTTAAGTGAATCACTTAGCTCAATATATAGCCATGTCAGAGCTGAAGTTTGAAGTGAGATTGTCGTGATACTGGCCAAATAGCCTGACATCGGACACACTGATTAGTATAGGACTTATCAACTTTTTTTTTTAATCCATCCCTCCTTTGGTGCGGGTATTAAAAAAAATCTCACATAGTACATTATATATAACTTTAGGAAATCAAATCGAATGTAGTTTTTAGAAAATGCTTCTCCAAACAGAGGAGCAAGATGGCGGAGGAGTAGGAGACCTGGATTTCGTCTGTCTCAGGAATTCAGCTGGATAGGGATCAAACCAATCTGAACACCTACGAACTCAACAGGAGATCGAAGAAAAGAATAGCAACAACTCTCTGAACAGAAAAGCAACCACTTTCTGGAAGGCAGGACATGCAGAGAAGCGAATCCGAGGTGATATTCGGGAGAATAGACGGCAGGGGACGGGGCCTCCGCCGGCC